CCCGCCCGGCCCGTTTCGGCTCAGCCCTCCCAGGGAATTTCCTGGCAGCTCGGGGTCCCTTCTGGGGAAGGGTACCCAGCACGAGCCCTCCCCATTCCCCGCTCACCTTGCTCCTCCAGCACAGCGTGTGCCTCCCTCTGGCGGGGACCTTGGCGTGCCCCAAGGGACACGGGAGCCCCCCAGTCTCCACCCCGTCCCCCTCAGCCTTTGCTCCTCACCCCCAAAGAAGGCAGAGAACAACTCCAACTGCCGTGGACAGCAGCACCTTGCTTTATTGGAACTCTGTCCAGGTGTAGACTCCCCAAAAAAGGAGCTCTGCTGCAACAAGAAAGGGGGGAAGCCCCCAGAAATTCCTCCACAGAACCCCCAGGCACAGGCCAGAGGCAGAAAGAGGGAGTGGCAGCAGGGAGGACACAGAAGAACAGGGTACAGTAAGAACAGGGATGAAATAAGGGAAAAGAAAAATAATAAGGGACGGGCAGCACAACAGAGGGGGATTAAAACAGAACAAGGGGGGAACAGTGGAACTGGGAGCATAATATGGCCACTGTGAATAAAAAAAGAACATGAGTGAGCCAAAAAAAAAGCCCCAAAAAACCCCAGGGGAAAACCAAAACAAACAAAATACCTGGGATGGGGCAGCAAGACAGAGAGAGATTAACAGTGACAGGGAAGAGGACACAAGAATCTAGTGGGAAACGCATGGGAAACACCACAGAGAATAAGGAAAGACCATGAGTGAAGCAAAAGGAAAAAAAAAAACAAAAACAAAAACACCAAAACAAACAAAAACTGGGGAAAAAACCCCAAAACAATACCAGGGAAGAGCAGCAGTCACAAACTTGACAATCTCAGGGGAACCCCCTCACTTAGACAGGGAATGCTGCCATGGATTTAATCCAGCCGCATCTCAAAGGAAGTTAAGACAAAAGTCAAAGTGCTGCAGGATAACTTCACAGCGTGTCAATCTAGGAATACCATCTAGACTACAACTACACCCTATATTGCAAACTTCAAATTACAAATTTCAAATGCCCAGGACTTGTCCTTTTACACCTACACCCAGACTAGGCAGCAGGGCAGAGCAGTTCCGGGCCAAATACACCCAGACACCCGTGACACAGAAGGTGACAAACAAGGGGACGCAACAGGGAGAGAAAACTCTTGGCCAGAAGAATGACTGCAAGGACCGAAAGAATGTGGAACGAGATGACCCACGTGAGAATGACGGCGAGCCAACGAGACTCACAGAACCCTGGAGATGCTATCAGAACAACTTAGTCCAAGAATCACCAAGATGGTTGCCTAAGAATCCTACAGTCACAGTCCTCTACCTATTTTTGCATTCGTACAAGCACATGTGTTGATGGTCATAGAGGGAAAGCTTTTCAGAGGAGAAAATAGCCATTTTGCTAGCACACTTTGATACACCTTCAGAAAAAGCAGAATTAGCACCAACTCCTAAGACCCCTCCTTAGGACACCAAATGCAGCAGACATTGAAAAAGAAGGGGAAAAGCCAAGCTTGGAGTGGAAAAATATAACATAAATACATCAGCCTTTAAAAAACCTTCACATAGCAATACTGAGAAACAGTGACATTTATTGTTTCCTTGCTTTTTGTGATGACATAAATATGAAGTAGAACAATATTAAAGACAAGGCAGAGCTAGGATTTTACAGGTCTTCATTTTGACAATCTGGATGACAAATGTCTCTTCCTGCACTAACACCCGGCCAGTTTAAATCCATCCTTAGCCCAACTCTTCCTCGCCTCCCTTTTCCCACTGCTCTGCTCAGGGCTTTGCACCTCATGCCCTTTCCTCCTGCAGCGGCATTGCACTGGAACACAGGGAGGTTTTGGCTAGTACTCGCGTTCTCTCCAAGCTGATATTACCAGGAACTCTTCTGCTTTTTGCTGCACCAGTCATGACGTTTGCTCACTAAAAGAAATCTTTTCCACAGTGAACTGCAGGTACAAGGGAACAAGTGCTACACAGCAATATTTTCCAGCTTAAGGACAAATAAAAAGTTTCTAAGGTTTGGATCCTGTTTCAGTGCACCAGAACCAAATCAATCTGCTTTGGCTCTGAAAACATCTGCAAAGGAAGCATTTGTACTGTTGAGCATGTAGTTACTTTATCTATGTATCCAACTTTCATTAATGAAAATAACAGGTGGTATAAACACTTTATTGAGACATTGTGATGAGACACACAAAGTGATTTCAGTGCAAATGAACCGAAGTAGCTTGTGTACTAGGAATGTATATGGAACTCAGAAAAGGTGGGATGGAACTGAGGGAGGATGAAAGAATCACAAGACCATAAAAACCTCATCAAATGACTGAAGTTACTATATAACGGTAAGCAAGCCTTATTCTCCATCTTAAAGCAACTCAATTTCTCACATCAAACTGGAAATCAGTCTTGCACTATTAAATTGTTTCATACTGAACGGTGTAATTCTTACACAAAACCATAAAATTATTTATGAATTATATTCATGAACATGGTATGAGGACTATGCCTGCATGTTACCAAGGAATTATTTTTTTTCTTGCAGCTGGGACATTCTCCTTGTGCAGCTGCACAGGGACCACACAGTCCATAATGCTGGCATGGATTCAGGGTAATGCTACAATCACCTTCCTGACATATTAGATACTTTTTTGACTGAAGCTGAAAAATCACCTGTAAAAAGATAATTGCAGTCAGTAAAAGGATTTCAAAGTATATGGTTATTTTCTAGCAAATTTATGTTTAGTTGTCCCAAACAAAATAAATTTCTAAGTTAACAGCACAAAGGATGTTTTCTAGTGACGGATAGCTGAATTAAGGTGATTAGATCAGAGTACATGCAACCTTTAAAGTAGTGCAAGTAGAAGACTTTATGATTGAAATTTTCCTGCATAATTGGAATAAAAGATGCTAACAAGCAAATAAAAAAAATTAAAAAAAAAAAAAAGAAATAAAGGTGTTCTACTGCCATTTACTCCCTCATTCTGCCATTTAAAACAACTGCTGCATCTTCTCATTCTGTGGAAGGTGTTTTCACTGGGTCAAAATGGAAGGATTCCAAAAGTGCTATACTTAAATCTACTGATACACACTTCATGGAGGATGTGACAACTGCAAATTAATGTCTCCATTTAATAAGCAATATTAAGGAAGAAGAACAACTCACAGCCATGTAACAGCTGTATTAATTTTTGAAGGACAAGAAATGGTTTGGATTAAGAACCCACAATACTATATGTGGCATTCCCTAAAACAGAAGTGCTAGGTGAGCAGAGTCCTCAGTGGTAAAGGAAACCTGAGAAACTGAGGAGCTGGAAGACGTCGTATTGCTTATTATCAGGGTTGCCTGGAAGCGCAGCGACGGAAAACCACAACACCCAGGATGCCCCGGGAACCAACGTGGACGAGAGCAAGTTCCGTCCCCTGGACAGCAGCCCTCGGCGTGCGGTGGAAAGCCGCCTTGCCCGCTCTGTGCCCCCGCCCAGACAGCGACTGCAACGCGCCCAACGCGGCTCCGCAGCCGCAGCGCGGCTCCGGCCAGACCGTGCCACCCGCTCTCACCCGGCGCCGTCCTCGGGCAGCCCCCGCCACTCGGTGCTTCCGCCGCGGACGCCGCCAGCCCAGCCGCCCCCGCTACAGCGACCGTCGCCCTCCTCGGGGCTTTCCCTGGACCCGCCACGCGGTCGCTCGTTCCCCGCTCACCTTCAAGTACGCGGTACCAGCGTGAGGCAGCGCGCAGCCACGGAAAGCGCCACTGCGGGTTTCCTAGCTGGAGTTTCTGGTCAGCGGCTGGCACCGGCGACGTCTCAAATCGGCCGAGTCACGGCGCGCGCGCTGCACTCTCCGCGGCAGTCACCGGCAGCTGGTGCCGGCCGCGAGCTGCACGTGCGCGTCCC